TCAAGTTTAGCGATCGGTTTGAGGGACTGGACACCGCGTCATTCGGCAACCTCCAGAAATCACCGGAACATGTTCGGCATTGTCTTCGGAAATGAGGATAAAATGCACACCAAAGTCTCCCTCCTTTGACTCAGGAAAAGAGAGCAGTTTTCAGTTGTGTTATTCGCCTTTTTAGAAACGAGAAGGGAATTTTATTAGAGAAGAAATTTGACCCGCGATTGTTTCTGGAATTGTTACTGGGGTCGCGCCGGTCAGCTATTTGCCAATCTTTTTCTCTGTCCTTAGTAACAATCCCAGAACTCTTTGCGAAAGTAAACTCGGCTGAGTTTCCCTGTAGTTTTGTATCACCTGTGTAGGATCCTGGCTTAAGAGTGATGGATCAATCGGTGGCCTGATCTGGTACGAGGGCATTATCCATGATACTATTCTTCCTACGCAAACCTGTAAGATACATGCATTATATACGTTATTTGAGACCCTTAGTTTTTAAGACGAGGACGACTACGAGTACGAGATTTTCTTAATGCTAAGCAGTGCGCGCGCATGAACCAGCATCTTTTCGGCGGGAAAACGTGATAGCCGTCGTCATTCTACTACAAGTTTTGCCGAGAATGTCGTTGTGACGAAAACAAGTTATCAAATGTTAGAAGCTAAGTTTTATTATTTTCGGTCGGGAGAGGGCTTGAGCTCCTTCAATAAGCAACAGCGCTAACTTTTCTGGTGAATCAAAAGTACAATGGAGCTTTCCGGGTGTCTATTTTTCTTTTTAAGAAGAGCGAAAGTCGTACTTCTAGTAGTTCTCGTCCGCGAATCTAAAGGTCTCTTTTAACCAAGCGTGAGGTCCAGATAGCTGAAAATTGCCCAAGTTCGTTTTGTTTTTTTGCGTTTTTGTATATGGAACAATCACTACTGTATTAATTTCGCCCCTCCCCCTAGAAGACAAGATTAAAAACTTGACTCGTGATAAAATAATCTCCTATAAAAATAATCATCATATTCCCTTCCCTCCGCCACTAGAAATTTGTAACTCCTGTGTATGGCGTGACTCCCGCGTAATTTTATCCAATCAGGAGTCAGTATTCCCGGAACTTGCAACAGTGAATCTTATTTGCTACAAGACAGGTTTGATTTGTGGGTAATAAAACGCGCAGCATCACTTTCGGACTCGTTCTGCAGCAATTTGTTGCCCGTTTTACCTTACTTTCAGCCTCATTTTTAAAGTGAGGGTTTTTGGAACTCGGAATGGTCTATTATAGCCTGTGATCATGCCCTCCCTAAAAAAAAAAACACGCCTGATCGCGGGTTAAGATAATAATTAAAAGACGATGAATCATGACAAACTATTGTTTTACATTATTTCCTTGTTTCTGTTTTGGGTTTTTGATCATGGTTTGTATTTTTAAATTCTCTTTCAGTTTTGTGGTTCAATTCTGTATTTTTTGTACGTGTTTCCGCTTTGGGATGTTTATTTCTGTTTTGGGATTTGTATTTCTGTTTTCTGGTAGTGTTTTTCTGTTTTGGGTTTGCTGTATCCTGTTTTTGCATTGACAGCACCCTAAGAAAAGAGAAACAGTCTTTGCATTGTGTTTTCGTTTATTATTTGTAGCAAGTGGAGCAATAAATTACCGTGCAAGGATTGGCATCCACTTTTATGCTTGGTGCACTAAAAATCGCACCCGCAAAGAAATAAGGTCTTTCCATTACACCGAGAACAGCTATTGTACCACCCTAAAAAGAATAATACATAATATTAAAAATATCATAACATGAAATTTTCAAGGTGCAGTCAAACCACTGTAAAGGCTAAGACTTTGCGGTCACTTACAGAAAGTGGTCGCTTACGACACTTCCTTGGAGTAGATTTCTGGGCACATCTACTTTAAATCAGATAGTTTACTGCACCGATTTCTTTCCCAGTTACATGTTGTTACTTAAGTTCTTCGTATACTCCTAGTAGCATACAGAGAACATGAGAGTTAAGACAAATCGTTAAAGGGTCGCTTTCTAGGAGGTTAAAAACAATCTCTAACGCGCTCGCTTAATGATGGTGATCTTTTACGAGAGGTAGTTGTTTACGAGAGGTGGTCGCATATGGAGGTTCGACTGTATCAGTGTTTTCGTAATATGTGATTTAACTGCATTGAAGCCAGACTTGAAAAGAGTTAAAAATAAGATCCTAAAACAGTTCAAGGTAGCTTTTGCTGAATCCAGTCAAGAATGTCCTTGTAAACCACGCTCGCAGTTTCTTCCACCTCATTCAACAGTTCATGGCGTCCATTTTTGTACACCTGCAAAGCAAGTTTTACTCGCAGTTGAGTTTATAATGAAATAATAATAGGTAGATTTAAAAATGACAAAGGAACGGAAAATTGGCCGGAGAGGGAAAACTCTATATTATTCTTTAGACACCCTTTTGGAGAGGAGAATTTCCTCTTTGGTGATTACTTTATAAATTCTCATAACCTTTTCCCTTGAAAACGCGGTGACATTGTTAGGAGAAAATAGGTATTGGTCACTCTTGGGATTAAAAGGGTTTAGACAAATCACGACTTTTGTTGGGATAAGTTGACAATAACTACGCTTGGAACAACGCGGCCGAAACTCCTACCCGGCGCAGGACAATATCACCACATGAAGAAACGCCGTTTTAAGACCGCCTCTTCCTGCCATCATGATATACCGTCAAGCGCCCTAACTATTCGTCGGAAATACCCATAGAGAGGCTATTAGTTCGCTCAGTGCTGTCAGTAAAGCAGCTCATTCGTGTACCTTAAATGTCTTGTCGTTACTGAGAGAATTCTCATGTAAGTATCGTGAACCGTCAATCGTCACTAATTGGTCTCCATCACCATGGACAAGTAGATAAGGTGTTGTAAGCCTTGACAGGTTCCTCTGGATTTCATTCATTGCGTCTAATATAGCTCCGACCCATCTCACTTTCATTCCATCATGCCAGTTTAGCCTATCATTGGCATACTTTTCAACCTAAAACAATAACAATAAACAAGGCGCATTGTGTTATTGAAGTCCTAGACTTGCCACAATGCAAGCCGACCGGGAGAACAAGAAGGCGCGAGGGACACCCGGTACTTAAGGGAATTCGACTTTCTGTAAGAGTTATGGTTACTAAATGGATCGTGCGAAGAATTGAGTGACATTGAAATTTGTACGGGGAGGCTCCACCCCTAAACAAGCACGACGAGCTCCTTTAACGATAAATGTGTAAGGCGTTAGGCCTAGGCTGGAACCTCCCTGTATGTATAAAACGTTGTTGAGTGGCCACCCCCCCCCCCCCCCCC